GGCCCATTTCGATCGCGTCTCAGCATACCTGTGAGCATTACAAGCGCATAAGACAATGTTACTTGCAGAACGATCGGTCTAATTGTAATCGCGATAATTGATAATTTTTTGAACTTCGACAACGAAAGAATTTATCTATATTTATTCAACGCCAAATAAATAAATTTATTTGTAGCGTAAATTTGAACGATGAAATAATGTTCTAGTATGTATTATACTGTAGCCGAGACGAGACACAAACGAAATCATGCGCTGTCAATTCTGGTTTTCGGATTTCGGCCAAGTTCCGATAAAGGCAATTTACGCAAGAAAATGACAAGCTAAGCAGTCTTGCATGGTTCCAGCAGCAACAGCAGCAGCGCGTGCACAAAGTGTAATCGCAATGTCTCTCTCTCTCTCTCTCTCTCTCTCTCTTTCCACTCTCGTGCTGCTGCTGTTGCTGCAGTGCGAACGACGAGCTGTAGTACTCGCTCTGCTCGACACGGATCCTGTTCCTGCCTCGAGATAAGCTTTTATACGTGTACGTGTGTATGTGTATACGTCGAATAGATCGGCAGCTATATAATACCGGGCAGCGCTTACGGTCCTGCACTCCGCACTCGCTCTTCGGTCTTCGCGCGCATGGCTCGGTGCGTTTTCTTCTTGGGCCCGTGCGCGTATACATACAACAATATACCTATATATATGTGCTGCACACATGCAGAAGTAGTTGGTCGGTCGGCGAACAATCAGCTCGTGTGGGTATGAAAGAAATGCACTCAGCCTATGGCGGCGCTCCAGACCACGCACGCATAGAAACGCGCCGTATTGTATGTGTACGCAAAGAGATCGAAGCCTCGAGATGATCTTCTTTCCGACAAAAGTCAGCTGCGAACCACTGCCTCGCGTGCACACCCATTTACGTGGTCTGCAAAAATAAGCATAATGTAGGATAGCTGGTTATCAATAGTAAGGTTGCGCTGCCAGTATAGTCGATGATGTTGGAAAAATGTCCCCCGCGTCGTCGGGCTTTTGCGCGAATGCGTTTGTCGTGTGCATAATATGCCTCTCGGTTATATCACTCTCCCTTCTCTCTTTCTATCTTTTTTTATTTCATATCTTTCGTATTTTTCGTGGTCGTCGTCGTCGTGCAGCGGCCGCACACAAGATTCATTCTCGATCCGAGTGTCAGTCGCGAATGTTTACTCTTGCAACCCCCTTAACTCTGGCAATGATCTGTGCTGCGCACGGCTGCTGCGCACACACGGGGAAAATTACTACATACGGCAGCACACGAAGAAATTGTGATCCGCGTTCGATTGCAGGAGAGCCCCCGCACACATACACACACCGCCGCTCTCTCGGGTTGTCGTGAGTGACGTGGACGCGATCACCGCGAACGATACACCTTCGTGCGCGCTGCGGTGGCGGCGGCAGCGGTCCCTTCGCGCGCGCCCGAGCGCATTTCGAGGATCATCGGTCGAGCCGCGATGATGCACGAATCCCCCGTGCCACCGAGAATACCATGTATACCATTTCTTGTTTTCAATTATAAAATACTTACAGCTGCGCGCGAGCGAGTGTGTACACATACCTGTTACAGATATATACGTTTTTTACAGCGATGAATCGCATAAATTTTCCTATACGCGCTCGATCTCGCTTCGACATACCAACCCGGAGGCGACTAGCCTTCCCGATATATATTATATCGTATTTGTAATGAAATTTGCACGATTCTTTGGCGCGGGAAAAGGGATTATGAACTCGAGAGAGAATGTATGTACAACGAACGTCCAGGCCGAGAGCGAAACTTGAAATTTTTCTTTTTTTTCAAAAAATTACCTGAAAAACTGTACCACTATATACACGTGTGAATAATATAGGATATGATTTCTCCTTTTTTCGAAGCTCACGGGTGATTTCAGCAGTGCCCATACAATCGAATATCACATACGTATACATAAAGCCGCACAAACGTGTTTGCTTGCGCTAATATTCAAGCACGCGGGCACTCTACTGCTTTATGCATACGATCGAATAGCGAGAGAGAGAGAGAGAGAGAGAGAGAGAGTGCAAGAAAGGGCACGCAATATGCCGCGCACGCAGACGCTTTCCAGACTAACGGCCGATAACCGAGCGTCGAACTTTTGTCAATATAATAATCGTGCGCAGAGCACACAGCATAAAGTAGTGACTTAGGCTGGTGATAAGTAAAAACCACGCTCGGTCAATACATACATAAGTCAAGTTTTATAAATTATCCTCATCATCGAAGTTCGCATGTAGCTCCAACTTTTAAAGTAGAAGCGGTCTTGGATCTTTGTCAGATTCAATTTGAACATTTCATGTATTCGTTTACAATAATTGAATGGTTAGTCTTCAAGGAGTTAAATTCATATTAAATATTACATAAATGCTCTTGGACGTGTACGATAGATATTGCGCCAGACGCGCAGTGGTTGCGAGGCCCCGCGTGCGAGCCCAACGGTAGCTGCTAAGCAAGCTACACATACTATTGCGACTACTTATATGTACACTTGACCGAAGCAAAAAGAAGGAAGACAGCACCATGCCGTATACGTATAACGTATACGCTCGAGCTTCGTGCCGATCGCTAAGAAGTATAAGAAGGAGGTTCGCGACGATCGAGTCCCCCCGCCCCCCGCAGCAGTAGTAGCGCATCCGACTAGGTTATAGTCCTTCTCGCTACTCGGAGCGTATCTGTTAAGGTCCTTCCCGTTAGCAGTGTCACGATGCGCGCAGCTTGTTTTTCTATACAGGTATCCACGCGGACGAGCTGCTGTTGAGCTCGCTAAATTGAGATATCAGGCCTGTGCAGCAAGGGTCGTATGTGTATGTGTGTTGTATTCGTCGACAACGACGACGACGACGACAAGAGGAGAAGAGAGATTCGAGAGAGCTGCACACCCGGTGACTTAAGTACACGATCCAATGATTATTTCGAATCGAGCGCCCGTGTAGTCGTGAATTTTATATGTGTATCAAACACCTTCGACCGAGGGACTTTTATAAATTTTTTTCTTTTACTTTTTCGCAAGCTCGCTCATTTATTTCATTTTTGAATTCTAATTAGATCGTATCGCGACGGTGCCTGTAACAAAAGGCAAATAATAAGCACGCTTCAGACTCTCGTAGGCGAAGGAATTGTCGCTTTCGCGCGAAACGTCCGCGGTTGAAGAAGAACATTAGTACATTTCCTAAAGAACGCTAATAAAAAGCAGAAGAGTCATTTCACGTCAAGTCTCCAGCGGTGCGCGCGAGCGGCCTTATTTAAGCCAAACTGCTCAATTTGTAACTCGTCAGAAAAGCATCTAAATGCACCTAGAAAAAATATGAGCCACATGATTTCGATTGGAAATTACGTCAGCTTTCCGATGGTGAGGTCAGATTTCCAAAAATTTTCCATTTTCCTCCAGAAAATTGCGAGAAAACCTTCAAAGTCGAATATCTCAAAAAGGGCATTTTTAAAATTTTTCTTACTAGTCTCAATCGAAAGCTGAGGAAATTTCCTATCGGTATGCAAATTTTCAAAGAGTGGTATTGATTATTACTTAGTGAAATACAGCGACGAACGTGTAAAAACGCGACTTTTCGGCCCGCGCAGCAGCTGTTTCGGCGCGCAGTACCCCGCGCGGCGCCAAATCTCGCGTTTTTACACCTTTGTCGCTGTATTTCACTAAGTAATGATCAACTAGCGTCATTCCTCGCTCGTAACGCTCGCTCGTCAATACCACTCTTTGAAAACTTGCATATCGATAGGAAATTTCCTCAGCTTTCGATTGAGACTATTTAGAAAAATCTTAAAAATGCCCTTTTTGAGATATTCGACTTGGAAGATTTTCCGGCAATTTTCTCGGGGAAAATGGAAAATTTTTAGAAATCTGACTTTACCATCGGAAAGCTGAGGTAATTTTCCATGGAAATCATGTAGCTCATATTTTTTCTAGGTGCATTTAGATGCTTTTCTGACGAGTTACAAATTGAGCTGTTTGGCTTAATAAGGCCGCTCGCGCGCACCACTGGAGACTTGATGTAAACAGATTCAGATTTCGTAATGGCTAGTACCATTATGTCCAAGGGAAAAATGTATGGCCCGAACTTTCATGTTTCACTAGCGAGTTTCGATTCTAAAAGGTGTGTTAGCCACGTACTGGTGGAATAGTGAAGTACCGAGTTTGCAGTGTTCGATGTGTGACTCAAATCCGTAGTTCTTGGATTGCTCATCAATTAATTCTATTCAGATGTTTTTATAAATGTACACCGAAAATACCGTACCAGATAATTTTGCGAGATGAACGCAAAATTTATTATTAAAATTACTGTATTATAGTAATCTTTACCATTTTACATAGGAGAAAAAACGTTTTTACATAGTGAAATTCGTGGAAACATTTAGACCACTTCATATTTCTCAAAATGTTTGAGTTGTCAAGAAATCGCTCATTTTCCGAAAAAGTTCTGGAAAAGATTTGAAAATTTTCAAACAAGTTTTTTTTTTTAAATTAAAGAAAAATTTTTGTTCTTTGCATTTTCCGGTAAATTCGTAGAATACGTAGAATTTTTACTGATTCTTTAAGGATCTTTTTTGAAAATTGGTTATTTGAGTTGTGGCAAGTATCATTAATTATTTTTCTAGCTCAAGGTGAAATTTTTGTTTTTTTTAATACCTTAGAACCAAAAACAGCATTTTAGAACGAGGATCCTAGCAACATAAACATGTTGGTTTTTCCTAAAAATATTTTCGCAGTGTACTTATGAAAGCATGTGAATTGAATGGATCGATAGGCGATCTGAACGCACGCCACAATGCGCAATGGTAATAATCACTGATACAGCGCATCAAACGAACAACGCATAGATCGTCTTGCGCACTAGTTTTGACGTGAATAGTTCACTATTTCACCGGTACGTGACTTAGACACTTTTTTCAATCGATACTCGAAAGAGAAAAAGCAAAGTTCAAGACTTAGGCTCGGAGTCAATCGGAGCGGAAAGACAAGATCATACTTCACAGGATCATTTCTGTAGTATATCTTCACAGACTCTCTACCCAAAGTAGGAGTCGATGCAGCCACGAGGATGAGACGTGGCTGCCCATTCTGAGCGTGAGGCTGGCGGCCTCGAGCTTCCCATTGCGGAGGCTCGGCCTGCCAACGATGATCGTTCACCTTCGGGTTTCATACCCGGAGGGATGGATGGGTAGCTGTCTGAGTGGTTATGCTTATAATAATTCAAAAATAATTTTCTAAGATTATTATGAACGTACTAATTTTTTCTAAGGTATTTTTATCAGTATAAATCGTTCGTATACTATAACCCTGTTATACAACCATTTTTAACGTGAACTAATACCAGCGAAGAAGCTAATTGAAATAACAGTAAATAAATAAATTAAAAATGCATATATTTAGCACAGGCGCACTGAGATCTTGATATAATATATCGAAACATAAGTGAAAGCACTAGCTGGCTGACCAATGCATACTTCATCAGATAGCGGCATGGGTGATTGCTTTTCGTTCAATGATTTGTGCCGAAAAAATTCAAATATTTAAAAATGAAAAAAAAATTCAACTGAAAAAGAAAAAATACTCACTTGAAGCTACAACTCTGATTTGACTATATAATAGACAACAGAAATAAATATGTAAATCTTCAGAAGTGGAATTACAATTATAACCTTTTCTTTTTTGGTTGAAAATTGTAGCTTATTTTCATTACTTTTTTTCAATTTAATTAATTCATTTATTTTGATTTTAATTTGTCTTCATTTTTGAATTCACATTGTGGAAAGCAATACTATTTCCATGTATTTACCGAGACCTTCGTGTGATATTATTGTATAATAAAAAAATAATATGCGATAAAATAATTTTGATAACATTTAAAAATAACCGGAAGAAGAAACAATCTTTTTATCTGCTTTTTCATCGCTTTTACATATCAATACTTTTAAAGTTAGATTTTACATTTTTTAAATATTTATCTGAACTCGATCAATGGCTTCAATAATTTATTCTCAAGTGTACAAATCCAATAATTTTATTTTTAAATAATCAACTTTTAATTCAATACATGTTAGGATTAAACATAGTGATACATAGTGAAACATAGTGACATAAGATTATCCAGTCCGACATTATTCAGTCAGGTGTAAATTTTGAAATCCCTCGACCTCACTACCTAAAAGAAAGATAATAATAGGTCATAACAAAATCGGAAAAATTATTATTACGAACGATAAAATAAGTATGAAATTACCTTTGTCAATGACATCACTCGTTTGGCTCTGCTCTTGCATAACCATTTCAACTGCGATACACATATTCAACAAATCCTTGTTTTCTAGCTGATTGATGATTTTTTCACTGCAAAAAATTGGCAGCTGGTGGCACGTCAGCGCCAAGAAAAATTTCATAGCCCAGCGCTGAAAAAATCTCCTCGACAATATTACGGATTTGTGCACGTAACATATTGGTTCCTTAGCCTCATGGTTGGTCGCACACATTCCGCAGTATATCTTGTTTTTATACTCTTCATAGCGCGAAAATCTGCGAATCTTCTCGATGTGAGCAAAGAATTTCATGATCCCCAGTGCGCTGCTTCGATTCAGTTCGTACCCTTTATTTGTTAAGCACTCGACGATATCCAGCATGTCAAAAACTAGTTTCGATTCGGAGCCGATCACGGTGTCTTTATTACCTCTGTATTTCGAGTCGAAGTAAGTCTCGTTTGGTAAAACGACGCCAGATAAATCAGCACCGCGATCCAACAAAAGCTTGACCAAATCTGGCATGAGATTCGTTACAGCTAATTGCAGCGGGGTCCGGCCAAACTTGTCCCGAGCGTCGACCTGCAGCGTTTGATGTTCATCGGCACTAATCTCAAATATCACCTCCGTCAAGTCTTTGTCATAGCTTCTCTCGCAAATCATATGTAGAGGAGTCAATCCTTCCTTGCTGGCCAAGTTTGGATTTGCACCGCTTCTCAGCAACAATATGGCTACGTCCAATTTATCCCAATCATCGTCTGGCACTGTTTTATGTTTGCAAAATATACTGTACAAGTCAACATCAGAATGTTTCTCTCTCATGCAAATAATGTGCAAAGGTACCAATCCATTCTTGTTGAACGAATTTGGATTGGAGCCATTTCTCAGCAATAATGCGACCATCTTATATTCTTTCTGATCCAGAGCCAAGTGTAACGGCGAGTCAATGGTGCTCGAGTCCGATTTTTGTGCGAGGCAATCGGGATCCTGGCCGAGCTCGAGGAATTTCTCTACGACATCGCAGCAGCCATACTCACAGGCCACGTGGAAATGAGTAATACCGCGTTCGTCGATATAATTCAAGTCGAACCTGTCATAAATTTTAAAAAGACTAGGCGTGAAGCGACCTTCTCCAGCCGCTCGATGCACTGCTGTGGTACGTCGTAACAACGGCTTGCCATCTCGATCAACGTTGGGCTTGTCTTTGTAGCCGGCTTTTGTAAAAAAAGTGACGATTGGAGTTCTTCGAATGCTGCAGTCGGGGTATTCGATAATATTTGACATATAATGTAGGAGAAGCCAATCGATTTCTTTTTGTTGAAAAATTTCTCGAAAATCTGGGAGTTGGCCTTTCCAATTCCTGATTAAGGGATAAAGTTGATCGAGAAGTTTGTGCCGCTCCTTTTCGACCTCCCAATTAACCTCTTTGCGCATAGTTTTCAATTTTTTCAAACACTCTTGATCGTCTTCGTCCATTGTTCAGCACACTCACACAACACAAAATCTATTATTATTTGAAATAAATAATTTTTCTTTTCACGAGACTTTTGCCGCAATTCAAGCGATCTTTCTTTGTTCACTCTGGAGCGTCGAAGCGTTTCAGTGTACTGCACAGACTGAACTGAATAATGTCTGCTGCACAGCTCGGCCAAAACTAACTGCGCGCCGTCCTCATACCCGCTATATTCTCGAGATGAATTGAGTCTCGCACCTAATATGTAATATAAACATATCGTATGACACAAAGGGAAATATGACGATTGAATGCATTGATTTGACCAACGGGTAATACATATTATTTTGCCAATTAATATACATACAAATATACGCCGAATATTACATTTGATTAATGTTCAATGGGCAATAATGTAAGTAGGTGCTGCAACGAGCGTCTAATTTGTCGAATTTTGATTGATTCATTATTGTAAAAAATAAATAATTTTAAAACCACTTTTGTCAAAAATCACTTGCTGCAGTCGGGAATAAAATAAAATCTGTAAAAAAATACAAAAAAGAGTTTAAAAATGTAGCGCGTTGGCTATCCAAAATCGTTGGTAATTTTACATTTTTTAACGTTTTATTACATTTTATAATTTAATATAATAGTTGAACTTGTATTTTTACTCTTTCTATCCCACACTCGGTAATAACTACTTATACACCCAGTAGCAAAGTCCAAAGAAGTCAGCGAGAATCTCCATACAATCTTTTTTGGCCGCCCTGCATACAAGTGTATGTGTATCGTTTTGCGTCCGATACATCGAAGCTCACTCGCTCGTTCGCGAGCTACTCTCTTCTGCTGATGCTGCTGCTGCGCATATGGACAGTTTAATTTCCAGAGCGTCAGCGCAAAAGAGAGAGAGAGAGAGAGAGAGCAAGAAAGCAGTGTGCAGGCATCTTGGAAGTGAGATTCTAAGAAGCTCAATCTTCGACGTTGCCACCGAGTTATATAGGAGATCACATTATTCATGCGTCCGATTCTCGCGACCGACCTGTTCCTTCTCAGCCTCGTGCGCGGCTTATACGAGGTGTGCATGTGCGAGCTTGTGTGCTTGTGTATCTGCGCAGCCGACATATCAGTGTGCAACTGCAACAGCAGAAGCAGCAGTAGCAGCAGCGGCGGTAGCTTCTGAATGACAAAAAAAAAAGATCGATAAAAAATATAATAAGCAGAAGAAGTGAAAGCGCCTGCGGCAAATCCTTCTTGTTGCGCACTCGTGTGTATGTGTATGTATGTGCGCATATATAAATGCATATGTTAATGCATTTGCAATAATTGACACGAGTACATTGTACGGGTCTATAGATGCATGTGTATATGGGTGTGAATTTTTTCTGTACACGCGTATACGAATGAGTAATAAAAAGTCGGATGCAAGGGGCTCGCGGTTATCGCGTGTAAGACACGCAAGACGAGTAACATAATTCCACCCTTTGGTGAACAATCGCCAACTTCCAAAAAACAGATATATTAGAGACATCATCTTTATTTTTTATATGACTTTATAGACATTCCTTTGCAGTAATTATTTTACATTATTTCATGATGCCAATGTAGATCTTCGTAAAAATGAGAAAGAAGTTTCAACGACTTTAAATACCATAATATCACTTTTAGCGTTCACCACTAGATGGCGAGTACGTTAAATCTGTAAATCTGCAAGTGGCAAAGTAAAAATAATTGTATAAATCAATGCATGGTTTATATGGTGGTAGACATCCATATACCTGATCCTAATGATTAAGTACGTACACTGTCTAAACGCACACTTACATAAACACAGCACCGGTTGTATATTGTTCTCCGCTCGCTGTACATGTATATCGATTGTGCAGATTGTTCGCCAACATGTGCCGCCCGGCGCGATCGCGGGCCGATCTCTGCTGCTACCGCTGCTGCTGCTCGAAATAGAGGTCCTCCGTCGTCACGCGGGAGCTTTTATAAAATAATATATGAAATAATAAAACCAGTCCGACCGAGAAATAAGTCTCGTGCGCGCAAGAGCAAGATAACGAGCGACTCGAAATAAGAATAATAATGACGATAATAACAATAACAATAATAATAATAATAATGATATAAAACGGGCATACGAAGCCATGTGGATATATCGGAAGAGCGTATCAACGAGTATAGGACTCGGACAGCGACACAGCGAGTCGAGAATCGAAGGCGAACATTTATGCATATACAGAAGGGGGGTTATAAGTCGCGAAGGAGGCGCGCGTTCGTTCGTCCATCCGTTCGTTCCTTCGTTTCGACGTTGAGCACTCACTTAGCTGCTGCTGCTGCTGCTGCCTCTGCAACTGCACGCGGCGTCATCACGATCACGATGGGGCTTATGTATATGTGGCATTTCACGTCAACTCTCCCAGTGCCGCGCGGCGCGGCCGAATTAAGCCAAATCACTAAATTTGTGAATCGCTGTAAAAGTACTAAAATGC